AAAAAAAAAAAAAAATTAAATGGAGGAATGAAACAGCTACGACGACATCTCAGTAGGGGGTCTAAGACAAAACATAATAAGACACATCAAGAGTAGTGGATTTAAGTGCCCATAAAGCAAATTAGATAAACTACGAGTCATTTATCTTAGCTGTTCTATGACTCCACATGCTCAAGGTCAAGCACAATTAAATTTTTCTTGTCTGTTGTTCTCTCTACTTTTAGATGCTGCACAAATTAAAAGAAAACATGTGTGCAGATCATAAAATAACTCCACTGCTTCTACATCACAATAACCAGATTGGTTGACTAATTTAGTTCACTACCATTTAGTAAAAGCAAAGTTCATATCAATACATTGAATTTCACACCTAACTTCCCCATAGAAATGCTAATGTATACCATTGAATACCGAGATTTCAGCGCTTGTTCCGAAAAAGCTCAACCACTCACTTATGTCTGGAGTTATCGCTAGTTAACTAAAGTCCAGGAAAAGGAAAAAGCTGCTTTTCAAGCTTGGCATTTTGCAGACCTAAATGTATCAGGTAAAGTCATGTTCAAAGTAAAGTAACGGATCCAATTAAATCTAATCAACAGTAGAAAAAACTCAAACACAAATATTCACACCCTTGAAAGAATATATCAGAACTAAACAAGAAACAGAACCCTTCAAAATATTTGCCATCTCTTTTCTTTGTAATTATTTACAACCCAAAACAAAGACCCTAGCAGAGCATGAACAATCAGTTGCCAAAAGCTGATTGCACGCACACACACACACGCATGTCTGTACCTGTATCTATATAGAGATGTGTACTAAGGTATCTCTATCTATATTGACGGCGAATAAGTTGATGAGTCATGTAACTCCTAACCAACGCGAATTAAACGAGTAAATTGGTCCATTGATTCTCAATTTATCAGCTGTAAACAAGCTAAATAATCTACGACGAAGATCCGTTCATCCAATACCCAATCTGAAAAGGCTCCACTATATAAAATCATCGACTCATTCGCATAAGATTCAGGACAACAGAAAATAAATTGACATGCAAGAAGTAGAAATTAGAAATTCACAAGAATCTCAATCAAGAGCCAGTAAATCAATCAAAGAACCATTGAAATATCGATATTGGATCTTGAAACTTCTACAGTGAATTGATGAGAACAAAAAAAAAATACAGAAATTACAGACATAAATTGAAAATGTTGGGTAAATCAACAGAAAACAGTGGAGGCACAAAGTAGAATACAATGCAAAAAATGTACAGAAAAAATCGTATACCTTACAGAAGTGAGATTGCTTTGATGTCTCTTTTATAAAGACGAAAGCAAGTAAGGGTTTCGAAGCAGAGAGAAGAAGGCTATGGTTTTCTTCAACTCGAAAATGGCGGATTTTAGGGGAAAACTAATTCCAATCAGCTGCCCAAATTAGCGTTTTGGGGAGGTTTCTCCCTCCTTTGTACCCTAATGTGCGTTTTTACTGTTTCAAACGGATTCAGCTTTTTTTTTTATTTATTTTTTTTTATTTTGTTTTTCGAAAGGGTGTTGTTAAATACCGCCCCCTTTTTAATTATTACCGCCCCCCAAAAAGACAGTTTTACCCTTTTTAATATAAAAATAATTTTTTTTTTTTTTTTTTT